TGTCCCTCCAGATCGCCTAAGAATTGCAAAAGCAAGCCTTTCGCGGAAAGAACGGGAGGTAAGCATGGGCGCAGTGGCTAGCACGACAAAACAGCGTGCAAGGCGCGATGTGGTCCTCACGACATATGTCGGTAATAACATTTTGCCTATATCATGCGCCGCTGTGCGGCTGCTGGTTGGGCTCGAGAGAGAGCCCATAAAGCACAACGGAACGAGTGAGTTCCGCAAGAAAGATCGGTGAGCGCCCCCTACCATTATATGTCGGGCTTTTATAAGGGCGGCTCTGAACTCGCATGCATGAGAGTGTCATGGAGGTCACCATAGGAAGGAGCCCTTGTAGCCTGGCATGCAGACCTGAAAAGGACTGAATTATCCCGCCAATTGAACCTTTTAGGCGAAGACTCATGGCGCGTCGTGATGGTTTCGGTCTCGTGAATTTTATTATAATACGGAGTGTGCTGATGTGCCGTGAGGATTGATTGTCTCCATTTTCTTCTACCATCCAACAGCCGACTGTTCAGATTCGTCAACCAATGGGTGATGCGATTTGGCGCGGTGACTGACACGACGTGAAGACCTACGTCTAACGCAGGTACGGCCTCAGGAGACCCAGCGCGGCCAGATAAACGCGCACAGCGAGACAGACCGGCCCCCATTCTGGTCATGTGCATATGTGACGCACGCAGCTCTGAGAGCCAGCTATCAGGTGGTCCCGAACTACCGATGAATTCCGGAAACGCCATCTAAAGCACATTTCTACTGCCATAATAGAGTGTAAAATGCACTAACCTGTGAAGTTCCAAAACCAACCAGAGGGACTTGGAAGCCATTATGCAGTTGAACGTAGGGGCAGTGGCTTTTCATGTTGGTGGAGGCTGCAGATTGGAACAGAAAACAAATCAGCATATGTTAGGAATAAGTTTATCCAAGGTCCCTCCCAAATGGTCGCAACCATTCCCCCCCCCAAGCAGACAGTATTCGTTTTTTCTAGCTTTTAACCACCGATATTTCGCTGCGCAATGCTGAGAAGTCTTCCCATTTCTGAGGTCCAGCATCTGTGCCTAGTCAAAAATGTCCTGCCATCCCCACCAGCAGAGAGTTGGAAATATATGCTTTATTACTGCCTATTTTGGGGAATTCAGACCTGGGGAAGATCTTATTTTGTAGACATGCCTGTTAGGGGTTAGGTCTAGGGGTCAGGGTTAGAAGTTGTGGTTTGGGGTTAGGGTTAGGGGTTAGGGATTAAAGGTCGGGATAAGGGGTTAGGAGTTGGAGTTAGGGATTAGGGGTCAGAGTTAGGGGCTAAGGTTAGGGACTGGGTCAGCGGTTAGGCTTAGAAGTTAGGGGTTAGCGGGGGCTTGTCTACTGCAGGTACAGCTACGAAATAAGATCCAGTGCAGACATGTTCTAATTAAGCATCACATCTCACCATATTTCCGCTTTGTACTACCTCAAGGACACCAAAGATATGAGGTAAAGACCCTTCCACTGCATATTAGGGTACGCTTAAACAAGTATCAAGGATTCGTAGATGTTTTGGTAGATTTTGAATAATTCATATTGACGCAACTGTGAAAAACTCGGCGCTTCGGTGGGATTCGAACCCACGCAATAAGGTGAAGGCTTTAGTACAGCCAACGCTCTAACCACTTGAGCTATGAGGCCCCGCCGTACGACGCGAGTTTATTCACATTTGGGTCAAGTTACCCGCCCAATACACTGCAACGTCTGGAATCCACCAAATCTGATACAGCAAGTCGACTGCCCAAATGTGATTAAACTCGCGTCGTACGGCGGGGCCTCGTAGCTCAAGTGGTTAGAGCGTTGGTTGTACTAGAGCCTTCCCATTACTGCGTGGGTTTGAATCCCACCGAGGCGCGGAGTTTTTCACAGTTGGGTCAATATGAAGTATGAAGGAAATAAATATGAGCAGAAGAAGTGAAAAAATCAGGCGCTTTACTCTATCCTCTCATGGAGTCTAGTACAATTTTTGGTAGGACTGATTTACATGACCCCCTACACAGGTCATGAGAAGAGGAACCGCCTACAAGACGAACGGCTTTCAGCCAACTTTCAGGGAAAATACGCTTAGGTTTGAGGCTAGCGTCAGGGTTATGTTGAGAATTAATTTTAAGGCTCGATTTAAAGTTTAAGGTAAGGTGCGTTCAGAAGACGAGGTGGAGAGCGAACGTTGTTTTCGATAACTTATCTTCAGACCGGCACAGTTATATGGGAACGGGGTACAGTGATTGAAAAAATCGATAAAAGTTAGTTTTAAAAACACAGACTAGGGAAGAGCGGAAGGGTGCAGAAGGCCGTATGTGGTTTGTCAACCTTTGACCACGGTAAGCGCAGAGCCTGAACGAGATTCTTCTGGGCGCATAGGGTCGGTTATCGTAACCTGATGACGGCCGATTCTGCTGTTGCTAACAGGCGCTGGCCCAGTAGCTTAGGGTAGCTCGAGGGGACCTTATAGATCACACGAAATGCTTCAGCGGGGTCCGCACGATACCCTGAATTCACTGCCAGCGCAAGGATGGCGTTCGACGGGTTAAGGTAGCAGCTAGTGTTGCCTGCAGACTTAAGGTTTAAGGCAGGGTTAGGCTAGAGATTAAGGCAACAGATTAGTTTTATATCAGAGTTGTTGTTGGGATCAGGACACGGTAATATTTTGCCCTTCCCGAAATTAAGCGTGGGCCAACCTTGGTTACTTAGGCGGGGCGTACCTATTCCTATGTCCTATTTAGGGGGCCATATAAGTCGGTCCTGTCAATATTGACCCACCATGACTAGAATCAGTTTATCCTCATAATTTCGTGCACAGCGGTTGCAGCGTCAACGCCCCTCCACATGCTATAGTTGCTCCTGCACCACTGAGAGACCGTTGGGGGTCTCCATTAGGCAGCCAGTGATTAGTGTAGTTGTGTGACCTAGAGACTTATCCGGACAAGAATGGAACCAGAAAATACACTTGAATGAAGGGAGAGACTGGGTGCAGATATACGTTTCGACCGCCTGGACACAGTGTGCCGACAAGGCGGCTTATTTTGCGTCCTGATGGATACGCTGCAGTGAATCCGTGCCCATCCGCCGCATCTTTCCGTACGGTTCGGCGACAACACTCTGGTGGAGGAAACATAGGGCAAAATTCGTTTGTAACCCGTTCCACACAGGAAAGGAACATTTTGTCCTCTTAAAGTTCCCGGTGAGTCATCTCTATGACATGCGTTTAACAAGTGACTCCTTGGTTGCACAAGTCCTCCCACGAGGATACAACTAGAGGCCTGAAGAAAAACGATGAGCAATTTCCGGTTATTGCTCGTGTTACAGGGGTATGGTGTGAAACTTTCGGGTTACTACAGGGGATGATAGAAATTGCATGAAAAGTTCTAGTCTCGCAATCTGAATTATCAAAGGAAAATAGCGATAAAACTACAGTGTACAGTAGGTGGGTTGACTCATGAAATGCCTACCGAAATTCCGAAATGCGTTTTCGTTTCGAAAAGATTAAAGCAGGGTTGTAAAACCAATCCTCGCGCAGCATAATTCTATCACAATTCAGCTACCTCAGGATGTCAGTTTATAAAAAAACTTATTTTCGGCTGCATGTAGGAACTACACTCTGCAAAAAATGACTACTAAATTAGCATGCATTTTACATATTTATTTTCAATGCCCTTAAAAGTGGCAAACATGGCAAACATGCATAAAAATATTCATTCTCCTACTCATTCGGTAGGACATTACGTCGTCTTTTAAATTTATACTCGAAGAAAGGGTATAATTCGGTTTTAAAAAACTCTTCTAATTCCCGAATAATTTTGAACTCGACCTGCCGCTACACTTACATTCAGGGTTTCAAACTACAAGCTGTCTGTTTTCAGTTTACGGAAAACCGTAAATTTCTCTACGGCATTCAGAGGAAATCATATGGGGTTCATAAAAGTTAGCAGTGGATTTGAGCCTCATTGTTAACTTTGCATGCAACACTGGTAAATGCTGAGACCTGGCGTTTTATGAGCGGTCACTTCACGATGTTAACGAATCTCACAATTAGAAACTTTTTTAAAACCAAAATATACCCTTCCTTCGAGTGTAAATTTAAAAGAAGATGTGACTTCCAACCGAATGAGTGAAAGGGCGAATATTTTATGCATTTTTTCCATGAGATATAATTGTATTGTAAAGGGCATCGGAAATCAATATGAAAAATTCTTGCCACGCAAGCAGTCATTTTTTACAGTGTAGTTCCTGCATGCAGCCGAAAATAAGGTTGTTTTGAAAGCTGGCATCCTGAGGTAGCTGAATTGTGATAGAATTATGCTGCAAGGTAATTGGTTTTACAACTCCACTTAATTAATCTTTTCGAAACGAAAACGTATTTCGGAGTTTCGGTTGATATTTCATGAGTTAGCCCACCTACCGTAAATTAAAATAGGAGCGGTTATATAACTTTATTGCCTTATTTCCCATCATCAGCCAACCATGATCCAAGTACGCGCAGAAAATACCTGTGGTCTGGGAGCTAGCACACTAGATCACTAAGCTTGATGCTTTGCAAAATGGAGTGCAGACCCCGAGTTTTTAATCCGCCGAGTTAGGGGATTTTCAGGCATGAAGAGTGTGTACGTCGGTAGGCATAGGCCTTACTGAAGAACACTAGACGAATTATAACCCTATTTTTTAAACGAGCAAACCCTTTCGGATGCTTTGGGCCCCATTTAGGGTTAAAATAACTAAGAAACACTTTGGTAAGCGAGAAGGGCAAAAATGGGTTCGTAATGAACACCAGCAGTCAGTCAGAGGAAGAAGTCAGAACGAAGTCAGCAAAAAAATTTATATAGTCGGTGCCTAGCAGGAGAAAGCCTAAATATCAAAATAATCAGTCGGGTGAATCAGAAGTCCTAATGGGGTCTTTGGCATTGGCGTGATTTCGACTCGTTGGGGTTGATTTGGCAGAGCGCGAAGGAGGGTAGCAACCGCGACTGCTGATCCCACCTCTACTTGGAAGCGTCTTCGGTGAAAGGATACTCAGGATGACTTCTCCAACTAGAAAATGCGGGCAAGAGGATGAAGATTGACGTGGAAGGCATATGCGGGCAGTGGCACAGCAAGCAGAAAGTTCATCTGAATTGCACAAATGGGCGTCAGACAAACAACAACTGATAGTCATCACTGCGTAAAAGAACGATTGTGGAGGGGGGGGAGCTAGTCGGAGTCGCTGCAGTTAAGAAACTGCTGATGCGAGAAAATTATGGCGGACCAGCACACAAGTCATATACCATCTGACCTCATCAACAAGCGTAAAAATACCAATAAAATTGCTGATACGATCGAGTAGAGGGGTTCCGAGAAGCGGTTGAGAAGGAGAATGCTCGATCCTTGGGAGAAGGCTTTCATTCCCCAGAGCTTTAGGACTCGTTTTTGAAACAGTCGACGGAGATGGGAAAAAATAGTGATAGCGAACGCATAGGGGGACTCAGTATTCGTAGGATATAACTACTATGGAATGACCAGCTTCAGAATCCGTAGCAGACGTCTGCACTTTGCGCGATAATGACGGAGACTTCATCTCTGGTGTTGCTGATGGACGTGCTGGTCACTCGGGGATTTCTTACCAGTAATGTCACAGGAAGCGAAGTTCGCCTGCATGCTCAACGTGTGACCAAGCACTATTCGTGGGAAGCGTCTAAGTAGGGATCTGGTGATGACGATCGTTAGGTTTGTCGAGAGGTGTTATGTCGAAAAACCATGACTTAGATACATTAGGTTGGCAAACTCATGAAATGTCGACCGAAATTCCGAAATGCGTTTTCGTTTCGAGAAGATTAATTAAGTAGGGTTGTAAAACTAGTCAGAATGCAACATAATTCTATAATGTTTCAGTTCTGTCAGGATGCCGGCTTTTGAACGAACTTCCATCCGACTGCATGCAAAAACTACACTCAGTAAAAAATGACTATGTAAGTAGCATAAATAATTGTCATTAATTTTGATGTCCCGAAAAGTCCAATTATATTTCATGGAAAACATGCATAAAAATATTCAATATTTTGCCCATTCGGTAGAAATACGTATTATTCCAATCTTATACTCGCAGGAAGGGTATAATTCGGTTTTCAAAAACTTTTCCAATTCCCGAATAATTTTGAACCAGCTCTACCGTTACACCTGGATTAAGGGTTTCAAACTACAAGCCGTATATTTTCCGCGTACGGAAAACCACACTTTTCTCTACGGTAATAAAGGCGGACCATAAAGGTTCAGAACATTTAAAAGTGGATTTGATCCATATTGTTAACTTTACAAGCCACATTGGCAAATGCAGAGACATGACGACTTATGAACGGCCATTTCACGGTATTTAAAAGTCCCACAATTGGAAACATTTTTAAAACCGAACTATGTCCCTCATTCGAGTATAAAATTAAAAGAGGACGTAATTTTCTACCGAATAAGCAGAAGAATGAATATTTTTATGCATGTTTTCCATGAAATATAATTGGACTTTTAGGGGCATCGAAAATCAAGGACAATTATTTATGCTACTTACATTGTCATTTTTTACTGAGTGTAGTTTTGCATGCAGCCGGATGGAAGTTCGTTCGAAAGCCGGCATCCTGCGGTAACTGAATTATTATAGAATTTGCTGTTGGCTGGCCAGGTTTACAACCCTAGTTAAGTAGTCTTTTCTAAACGAAAACACATTTCGGAATTTCGGTTGACATTTAATGAGTTAGCCCACCTACTGTCAATTGCGACTTATGAGGTTCCCATTTCCGTGCGAATGTGACACTTCGTTTTTGGAGATGTGATTGCGTCCCGGCGAGTAAGTCGTAACTTGAGACTTGACGTAATTTCTCCCCACTCCCCATACCTGCTCGAGGATCCACGTCCAGAGCAGTCTTTTTAATTCTCCGGTGCATTTGTTTGAAATCCTCCCCCACATCTAACAAATTGCAGCATTCGATACCTGCATCCTATTGTTGTTTTAGGTAATGGGTTCGAGAGGAAATCCGAAACTGCGGGTGAATAACATTTTTGCTCCTGCGATCGCATCTCCTTCCAATGGCGATGGAAATTAGCATAATAACATGACTTGTAGTCGGCTCTCTCAAGGGGGATCAGAAGTGCGTCCAAGGAGACGGGAATGCTTCTCAGCTGGAACCATATGAACTACAGACGTAACGTCGAACTGCAGTTAGTGTAACTTTCCTAGCCCGTTGTAACGATGATAAGAAGGTAAAATGCAACTTTGGATCCGCAAGTTTTCATGAGGCCTTTTCTGCTGGAGCAGGCAAGCGGGGCAGGATTTAATGGTACAAAAAATTTCGGACGGCTCGTCAGCTGCGTCCTGTCGCTTCACAACATAGATAACGAGTGGGAAGAATACAGCAGATTTGAATTCACGCAGAAAATCAATGCACAAATAACAGGGTTATGGTTTAGGTTCAAGCTGGCTAATCGACAAAATTAGTAAATTAAACACTGATTGCGAAGAATTGCCGAAGAATTTCTCTCTATTACGAATAAGCCACATTCAAGGATCAAATTTGCAATAAGAATGAACAAGACAATCAACCATCTTTACTGACCGTTTTTGTGTTAAGCGAGCGAAATGGTTCCATAAGATGTTCCGTTTTCCACAAGAATACTTGGGAAGGGCATTACTCGCATTTTTGAGTTTTGTACCCATACAATGGACACGGAAGTTGGTGTACACTCTTTTCCAAAGGGCTGGAAACATTTGCTCCAATAACACACTTAGTGCAGAACTTGCACGCCTCAAAGAAACCCTGCCTAAGCTTGGGTATCCTGCACGTTTCGTCCAAAAGTACAGCAAATGTACACGGCCAAAAGTGACAGAACATTCAGTTCCGAAAATGTCCGTTCTTATATCCTTGCTCTTTAAGGGCGACAAAGTTTTAAATACTAACAAACAACGACTGCATTCCACCATTGAGATGACATAAAACGCAGCCGAACTCGTATTATGCAGTCCTACTATGCCTATTCGAATTCTACGGGCGAAGGATGCCTTACCAATGCACTCCACTTCAAATCGTGTTTGTGAATTCACATGCACTTGCGGATGCAAGTACATTGGGCGAACGCAAGGGCGGTTGGCAATCAGGTCTATTGAGCACCTGCCCAGATGGCTCCTAAAGCAAGAAAATAAAATCCTGCGTTCCTCCATTACAAAACATTTGCTTAATAGTGGTCACTCCGTCGACCCTAAAACTTCCTTCCGAGCACTCGTTCGGGCACGAGCAGCTCGAACATTGCGTTACCTGGAGGCGGCCTGTATACGGCAGGTGAAACCCGATCTGTATAAACAGTTAGAACACGTGGTTAGCCTACCCTTGCCATGGTAGCCTTTGGCTACATGATTTTCACTTTCCCTTTCATTTTGCTCGTTAACGCCCCTTTTTTCCACTATTCTTCCCGTACTGTGTACAAGTTACAAATTTTATCGATTGGCCAGATTTACCCAAAACCATGACCTTGTTATTTCTGCATTGATTTTCTGCCCGAATTCAAATCTGTTATATTCTTCCTACTCGTTATCTATATTATGAGGCGACAGGACGCAGCTAACGAGCCGTCGCGAAATTTTTTGGTACCATTAAATCCTCTCCTGCTTGCCTGCAGCTTCCTACTGGGGATAAAATGCTTCAAAGCTATTTTTGCTACTTTTTTCGTTCGAGTAGGAGGTATTTTCAAACTAATATGGGATGTCCCAGTGGTTACTATAAGGGTTAGGTTTGGTGTTGTGGGCAGGACCATGAACAGGATTAAATCAGCGGTTAGGGTTGGTAATGTGGTCTAGGTTAAGGCCGATGTTAGTTTCAGGATTTGGCCTATTTTGAGGTGTCAGTTGTGGCGTGTCTTTAGCTCTATGACCTAACTTGGAGACTGGGCTGAGGGTCATTTTTCCAGAATAGCATTACCGACAAAAACCAGGGAGACTGGAATGGCCATTTCTGGCTTATTAACCATCGTCAGCCAGTAATACCCAACCCCGAAGTGTGGAACACTCGAGGCTCGAACTCGCGACCTGTTAGTTAGAAGTCCACGCCTCTAACCACTGGGCCACGAGCCCGATGCCCTGTCGGTATCGATCGAGAATATACAATGATAGGGGGCGCTCACCGATCGTTCTTACGGAACTCACTCGTTTCGGTCATTTTTCCAATTATCAATCGTGAGCTGCCGTTCGCGTTGCAGTCACCGTTCAGCCTACAGTTGTTTTCGCGGTCTTACGTACGATCAGGTTTACATTTGCGGTCAGGTTATGCGTTACATGGACAGCCTGGGCGTCCATATGTTGTTGCAATATTGATCCTGCTTGAGATTACGGTCGAGATAGCGTTTAGGTCGAGGTTTGCAATTCGAGCTAGACGCATGGTTATGGGTTAGACTTACCGTTATGGCTAGGATTACGGCTAACAATATATGGATGAAGATTAAGCCGTTCGTGTAAGCCAGATGCGAGAACCTGGCCCGCTTACGAGTGTTATACACTACATCCGGGAGTCAGCTACTGTGGGTTGTGCCGAAGGCCTGTTTGACACGTGACATCTGCACAACTTCCGGCACACAGCCCCCTGAAACACAACTTCAAATACGTTCGGCGGTCTGGGATTCTTAATTCGGTTACTACCGTAGTCTATTTTTGGATAGATGCTTATAATTAGAGCTGGGGTCAAGGCAACTAAAAACCTATCCATGCCCCGTTAAAGGTGGCGTTCCTTCAATTTGAAGCCGACCGGACTGCCGGCAAGTGAGAGTCGGTTTAATCAGCCGGAAGTTTATACTTTGCGCCACATCTCGCTTAGGATTATCTGCGCATTATTTATGCAGAGCGACGGCGTCGGTTATGATGCGACTTAATTAATTTAAACAAAAAGGTCGGTTATATGACTTTTTCAGTTATCCTGCAGATTTAAACCGTTTTTTGCGACTTAAACTTTTATTCCCTGTACACCTTTGACTCTAGCAGGCCCAAGAGAGAACTCACGAGAGAGCTTTGAAGAGGCGATCGTTCCGGCCGCAGGTGCTCAATGTCTCCATCTCCTCCGCCGTCAATTCAAAATCAAAAACCTGGAAGAGAGAGAAGTTAGTGAAGTGGTGGGAAAAAGGCGTCTGTAAGTAGTCACTCTCCGCTAGTACTGCGACTCCCCATCTAAACAAGAATCAGTGGCTCGGCGTCAGTTCGGCATTGAAATCCGTTGAATTTCAAGTGCAGTAGATGTGCTAAGTCATGAAATGTCAACCAAAATTTCGAAATGCGTTCTCGTTTCGAAAAGGTAAATTAAGTAGTGTTGTAAAACTAATCATGATGCGGCATAAATCTATAATGATCCAGTTACCTCAGAGTGTCAGCTTTCGAAAGAATTTATTTTCGGCTGCATGCAAGATCAATACTTTGCAAAAAATGACTACTTAAGTAGCATACAAGTTTCTCATTGAGTAGGAAATTAGAAGAGGACGTGATTTTCTACCGAATAAGTAAAAGAATGAATATTTTTATGCATGTTTTCCATGAAATATAATTAAATTTTCAAGGGCATCGAAAATCAATGAGAAAATTGAATGTTACTTAAGTAGTCATTTTTTGCAAAGTATTGATCTTGCATGCAGCCGAAAATAAATTCTTTCGAAAGCTGACACTCTGAGGTAACTGGATCATTATAGATTTATGCTGCATCATGATTAGTTTTACAACACTGGTTAATTGATCTTTTCAAAAGGAGAACGCATTTCGAAATTTTGTTGACATTTCACGACTTAGCACATCTACTGTATACTCACGGAGATGAACAAGTGCGCATAGCCACTAAAACACTCCGCTGTCTTGATGAGCTTGCCATAATTCGTCGGGAAATATACAGTGGACAGTTGGCATTTTGTGTAAGTGCGAGCTAACCTGAACGCATTTAACAGAATCATACCACTAAAATAATTTTTCGGTAATCCACAATTCGAGATTGGAGATGAGGGTTTCAGACAATGCAGCGTGAATTTCCGCGCACACCGTATGTCCAGTGGGTGTGCTGTCACATGAAATTTTAAGTGAAATTCTGAAAGGTGTTCTCTATGCAAAATGATTGATTAAGTTGGGTTGTAATAGTAATTGTCGTGAATAGGTAAGGAAGAAACGGTACAGTAATGTCTCAGAGTTCATGCATACTGATATTCCAAAAAAGTCGTAATCTCAACCTACGTTGGGTGTTTCGACTACGTTTCGACTACAGTCTCTGATTGCATCAGAGAAGACCTCTGATCAATAGAAATTAGATCAGTTGAAGGTTAGGAAGCAAGTGACAAGAGATGGGAGAGCGAAAGTTAAAGGTTAATCGATCGGAGGATTCTGAGGACGAAAGTAAGAGATTTTTCGGAAATTTATGGCCAGTGACATTTCTCTCAGGAGCAGACCGTCATCTTTCCAAACTACTCTGCTAAAATTCCCAGACGGCGCATCTTTGGGCGGATACGACATGCGACCTAAATACTTAATCCCTGCCTGGAAATCCTCAAATGGAGCTTCAACCTGGATGGATTGTTCAAGCGGTGCTTCAGTACAGTGTGCGCGATCGAAGGTACATCACATTGTGCTAAACGACCCCGTTGCTGAGGGTCCTTCGTCATAAGGGACAATTCGATTACAAAACAGTTGTCAGGTAGGCAGCGTGGATTTCGCCCATGTCATTCGACGCCTATCTAAAGATGCTTCGGTTGGGTATGGGAATTTGGACACAACCCGCACTACAGGTGGCTCTGCGCTAAATACCTATGGATCAGCATCGGAGCTGACGTCGGGGTTAGGGTTAAAGTTAGGATACGAGAATATGTATCCCGTTTTTGTAGTATAGCCTACGGCCACCTGTAGTACGGGGGAAGTCCTCATTTCCGTGTCCGACCAAGGCTTATTCTCTACCTGTCATACTTGAGAAAAACTCGATGACCTCAGTGTTAGTCAAACCTACTAGAGAAACACTACGCTTTGATTGCAGCTAACACACTCTGGTCGCCGGAACCTCGTGCTTTACGTGCTTGGACTGTGTTGACCGCCAAGTATTGGGTCAGTAAAATTTGTCGATCTTATTTCGTAGCCGTACCTGCAGTTGAAGGGCCCCAGCCTAACCCCTAACCCCTAACACACTACCAGGTACGGCCACGAAATAAGATCTTGCCTTTTACCGAAAGTGCGAATAATCTTTTTTCTCATTTATTAAGAAATCTAATTGGCCGAAAGTGCGACTGTTTCTTCACGCTTTTGCCTTTGAAAAGCCATGGGAATCTTAGGCAGTATCAAGAAGCACACCATGGGGATCGAACTTATTTTATATTTCATGCGAGCCAGACCGTACTGTCACAGTTTGGGCTGTCTACCGTGTCCAGAAATGCTGGGGGAAGTGATGTTTAGCCATGTCATCGTCCTCCTTGTTGCAGCGGAAGACAGCTTAGAGCCCGGCGCGCATTAGCGACTTTCCCCTCAGAAAAAGTGGAATCCAAGAGGCCGCAGGATTCTGCGAACCTTTACACCCCCTACAAGCGGCCAAGGCATCACCTACGCACGGAGCTCAAAATTTTGATCCATGGACTACGAACCCCACTGATTCTAATTTTAGCCAAAACAGTCTAATTTATGAAGCCAGACAGTGGAAGTCCTGAATCGGAGTACCTTTGATGTACTTACGCACCGCCATTTAATATAAAATTTGGCAAGGTTCGGTCCTGCAGCCCCACCTGAGTGATACCGTATGGTTAGCTTTTTAAAAACCTTTTGATAGGTGTGAATACGTCGATTTTACAACTATCACGCATTTGCACGTTCCTTAACACGTTACTCCAGAGAGCGACTGTGTCACGGGAGGAGGAGGAGGAGGAGGAGGAGGAGGATTAAAAGCGATTAAAAGCCGGCCTCGGATATCTCCGGTATTAGTTCGCATGCATTCCTCTGCGTGTGCTTTGAGCCCTGCTTGCGCCCTCATAAACAGTCTAAGAAGACTTGCAAATGGAATTGTTTAGACGGTGTGGAACTCCGTCGGTTCCGTTACAGTGCCTATGCTCTGCGAATTACCACTCGGTTCCCCCCGTGGCCTTCCAGTTGTGATTGCGCCCTCCTTATCCTCTTGATCCAGCGAGTGGTTGTGTCGCGGGGAGAGTGTGTATACAGCACCTTCACTCGCTTCCCTGTGCGTGCTTCGAGCTCTGCTTACGCTCTCTTTTCCTTCCTAATACGGCAAGTGGCCAAGTTAGATATGTTAATTAATATTTTTCTAGTAAGCCAACCCTACGGTATCAATCCAGTGGGGCTGCAGAAGCAAACATCGCCTTAAATTTTTCCCTGCTTGCATGCAAGCGAGCAGTGTGACTGAACTTGGCCCTCAGAATAACGTATCACTGATTCATTAGACCGTAACACTGGACAGAGTAGCTCGTAGCACGTGATGAAGGCCTGCGTTAAGTGTCCATAAGGCCCCAAGTACCGCAGTACATAGTGTGTAGGAGTGCCAAGTAAGGGGACCAACACGACGACTAGATCAGGTTACGACACGCGTTATTTGGACTGCGGATCCATAACAAATGCCGTACATGGAAGGAGGTGCTGGCACGTCTGGCCGCAGGCTCTTGCCGCGTCAATCATATGCCCCAGGTCCCGCTTCCAGTCGGTCGTAACACTGGGACCGAGAAAGGCAGGGAAGAGGAAGTGCGGTAGATGCTGCACAAGTCTACTATCACAATAAAGTAATTCACGCCCAAGTCATCGCCTCCGCGCTCTGGGGCAGGGGGTGGACATCTTTGGTGACGGCCAAATTGTCGCAGTAAGGAGATGCACCGTGTGTGTGGGTAGGTCACTTTGGTGACTACACCTAGCTGCCCCTGAATGGCACTCAGCTCTCATTTGTTGCTCCCTGAAACAACGGTTTTGACCGGCGGTCTAGACCAGATGGGGGTATCCGGTGTTGCGCGTGTGTCGCCACACCTGGGAATTCAGATTCTCGTCCACTTCCGCACCATCCTCCTCCTTTGCTCTAAAAAGTGAAACGGGGACGGCGATATGTAATACCACAGTCGGTCCAAGTTAACTTGCATCACTCTGTCAATAAACCAAGTCCTGATCCACCGTGGAGCCCGGAAACCGTCCAGGACGTCCAAGCAGTCCTACTTAGGAATAGCACTGATTACCCCTCCCTCGCGTAGAAGAGGTTATAGAAGGCACCCTGTACAAATATGAGCATTCTGTCATCTGCGCGCAGACAGTGGACCACAGATGTGCACCTCGCGGTCGAAATAATCAGACAAGCAACAATCCACGTCCCAAATTGGGCTGCGCAGCCTGAAATGCCCATTTTTGTTTTAGACAACTCGTGAAGCAATCGGTCGGAAGGGAGAGCGGCGCTAGTTGCTCAGGAACTGACGCGCTATAAGGTGGATATTACTGCTTTCCGCATGACCCTCATTTCCAGACAAGGCAAACGGGAAGAGGTGGGTGCGGACTACATCTTCTTCGGGAGCGGCCGCCCAAGGACAGAGTAATGCAACGCTGGCGTCACCTTTTTCATTCGTAACGCATCGTGGGACTACTGCCCTGTCTGCCGCAGGACATCATCCATCGTCTCATGACTCTGTGCCAGCCCCTTGGGGAGTCAAATTCGCCATCGTCCTCGGCGCCTACCTTTACCCAATGATTAGCTCAGACTTCGTGAGTAAGAGGTTTAACAAAGACCTTTACGCTCTCTTAACGACTGTGTTGAAGGCGGACAACCTGGTTGTCCTTGGAGACCTCAATGTCCGCGTCGGAACGGACAACGCTGCCTCGAGGGCAGTGTTCGGTCCCCATGGAATCGGAAGCTGCAACTACAACAGCCTTCTTCTCCTGCGAACCTACGCAGAACACCGTCTTCTCTTCAACACCCTCGTCCTTCCGATACGTAAGAAGGCTTCATGGATGCATCTTCGTTCGTGATGCTGGCACCTGCTGGATTGTGTCCGAGTCCTGAGGCGAGGCTGTCAAGAGATGCTGATAACTAAGACTATTTTCGATATCGACAGCCAGACGGGTCATCGTCTGGTCATTTCCAAGATGGGGCTCCGACTGACAACTCACAGGACACCACAGGATAAGCGACCACCAGGCAAATTAAATGCTGTTCTGTTGGAGTTGTCTGCTCATCACTTAGATTTCCGCAATCAACTGGCTCGGCGCCCGGAAGAACTGCGGACTACCGGTGAGAACGGCACCGTGGAATTAAAGTGGCGTCAACCGCGGAACGTTATCCAACCCACGGTTCTGAACGTGCCCGGTGGCCCTCGCAGTCAACATCAAGATTGGTTCGACGACAACGGCGCAGAAATCAGCAACCTACTCATCGAAAAGAATAGGCCTCGCAAGGCCTACATCAACATCTGGACTGGCGCAAACAAGTCTGCGTTCTACAGGTGTCGCCTGCGACTGCTGGAGGTGCAAGATGCCTGGATGGATCATAAGGCTGAGGAAATATTAGGATACGCGGGTCGCTATGAAATAAAGAATTTCTTCGCACCAGTGAAGACTGTCTACAACTTCCGCATCAAATGGACCGCGCCGTTTCTCAGCCCCAACTGAACAACACTGCTCACAGAGTAATCGTATCTTCCTAAGGGCTGGACTGAGTACCTCAGAAGCGGCCCCAACCTACTGACCACAATCTCCGAGATGAAAGCAAACAACGACCTGGACCCCACGCCTTCTTTCTCTCTCTCAGAAGCAATCAAAGTTGTGAAGCACCTCTCCAGCAGGAAAGCACCGAGATCAGACGCAATCCCGGCCAACTCC